AGCCCTGGCCCAAAAGTGAGGGAGCGGGGCTACCACATCCAAGAGATAGAGGAGCAGGTCCACCAGGCTAAGAGGGTAAGGTTGCCTTTCAGAGAAACTAGGACTGGAGCCAGTCAATGAAGGAGATATGTACGGATGCCACCCAATGAAGATCTATACAGGTGCCAAGTTGACAAGGAGTGAATTGTGGTAGTTAACGTTGTCTGTCAACTTGGCTGGGCCTTGTTGAGTGCCTGGGCAGCTGAATGTAGTTATTCCACATGGTGAGATTGGTAATTAACTCCATGGTGGAAACTACTGGAGCAGCTGAGTAGCTGCGTTTGGGATGTGGGCTGCTTCCAGTGTATATAAAGCAACTCTGAGGAAGGTCTCCAGCTTATGGCATGCTTGAATCCTGTATGTAGCTGAGTCATTGTTCAGCAGCGGATGTTGGGACTTCCATCAATGGCTTGCTATGTTGTTTGGCACTATCCGGACTGTGTCATTTTTTTTTTTTTTTGTCAACCTTGGGCTTGTCAGCCTCAGCAGCCAGCAGCTGCCTGAGTGAAGAAAAGCCTCTAGTCCAGTGGGCTTGGAGCAAGAAGGAGAGCTAAAGCCCAAGGTCAAGGGGCTTTCACCCAACTCCTAGAGCCTGGCACTTTGAACTCAGACTTCTAGCCTCCAAAACTGAAAGAGAATAAACTCCTGTTTATTCAAGCCATCCCATTTGTGGTATTTCTGTTAGAGTGGCACTAGATAACCAAAACGTGTGTGTGTGTGTGTGTGTGTGTGTGTGCGTATAAAAAACAAAACCAAACTCACAGCCATTGAGTCAATTTTGACTCATAGGAACCCCTCCTTGGATTTCTGAGGTGGTATCTCTATGGAAGTAGATTGGCCAGCCTTTCTTCTGATGAATGGCTGGTGGGTTTGAACTGCCAGCCTTCTGGTTAGCAGTCAAATGCCTTAGGCACTATGCCATCAGAGCTGCCATATATATGCAAGCATATTGATATTTTAATATATAATAATAACATACACATTAATTTAGTTTATATTTTATATATAAGGAGAGAGATTAAGCAATACAGAAAAGCCTAATTTGACTCATGTGTTCATGTACGTGTGTGTATGCATACTGATAGAATTAATCTCCTTACTTCTTTTCTTGCTTTTCCTAAGAGTGAGGTATTTAAATGAAATTGTAATTTTAGTACTAGAGAGACAGTGGAGCTTGTTTAGCCTAGATCAATCACCTGTTTAAGCACCTACTATGTGCTAAGAAGAGAGCCCTGGTGCCACAATAGTTAAGTGAAGTGTTCAGCTGCTAACCAAAATACTTGTGGTTTAAACCCCCCCAATGACTCTATAGCAGAGAACACCTGGAGATCTACTCCCATAAAGTTTAAACCAAAAATGAAATTCACTTTCATCAAGTCAGTTCTGACTCATAGTAACCCCCATTGGGTTTCCAAGGTTGTAAACAACTGTGGAGCAGCTGGTGGGTTGAACCCCTGACCTTTGGTTCACAGCCAAATGCCTTAACCACTACACCACCAGAGCACCTTCCAACAAAGATTACAACCTAAGAAGCCCTGTGGGACAGTTCTACTCTGTCTTATAGGGTCCCTGTGGGTTAGAATTGACTTGAGAGCATACAACAATGTGTCCGAGGCACTGACCTAGTAACTGTGATGACATGATAAACATTGTCCCTACTGTCATGTAGTTTACAGTAAAGTTGGAATAGATAGACACTAAATGAATAATCATATGTGTAACTCTTCTATGAAGGAGCTCTGGTGGTACAATGAATAAAGCATTTGGTTGCTAACCAGAAGGTTGGCAGTTCAAAGCTACCAGCTGCTCCATGGAAGGAAGATAAGACAATCTATTTCCATAAAGATTTACAGCCCTGGAAATCCATGAGGTCCCTATGAGTTGGAATCAACTTGGTAGCAATGGATTTCGTTTTAGGTTTTAACTCTTCTATAGTCAGTCACGTTGGTGAGAAAATGTCATGAAGGAAAAGTAAAGAGTACTATTAGAGGGGGTAAAAGGGGACCCTATTCTGGTGCGTGTGTGGGGAGGGTCAGAGAGCCTGCTGCTAGGATGTGACAGGTAAGGTGAATCCTGAAGGAAGGATGGGAGTTATTCAGGTGGAAGTGAGGGACAGACATCATAGTCTGAGGGAACTGCATATGGTGGGGCCCTTGTTGGATTATTTGTAGACTAGCTCTGGTAGCATAGTGGCTCAGGCACTTGACTGCTAACCAGAAAGCTGGCGGTTCAAACCCACCAACCACTCCTCAGAAGGAAGATGGGGCAATCTACTTCCGTAGTGATACTGCCTAGGAAACCCAAGGAGGGGTCGCTATGAGTCGGGGCTGACTCGACGGCACACAACAACAACAACAACAAAGAAGGAGAAAAGGAAGCAAAACTACAATTTACTCAACACCTACTGTGTGCCACGTTATTGGTGTTAGGATGTTATCTAACAAGCTGAGGGTCAAGATAACATTAATTCCTTAAGACTTTCTGTGCCAGGCTTTGGGGATGCAGACATAGATGAACTAAGGTTGATCATCTGAGAAAGCTCTTGGTAGAGCAGGATGAAGAAAGTGAAAAATAATTGTAAGGCAATTTTGCTATAATTCAAGTATCTCTAAGATGCTATGGAAATATCAAAATGGAAACCATGAACTTTGATTGAAGTGTCAAAGGAAACTTCACAAAGGAGATATTGGTTGAGCTGAGTTCTGAAGGATGAATAAACTTCCTCCAATAGGTAGAAGAGGGATAAGGTCCATTCTGGCAGTTTGTTGTTAGTGCTATAAAGTCGACTTCCACTTGTGGTGACCTTGTGTATAATGGAATAAAACATCACCTGGTCCTGAAGTATGTTCATGATTTTGGGTGTATTTGAGTCCATTGTTGAGGTGATTGTGTAGTTCCTTCCACTTTAAGAGAGGCTTACCTTCCGGAACTATACTGGACGTTATTCTGTTGTGATCTACAGGGTTTTCATTAGCTACTTGTTGGAAGTAGGTTGCTAGGTCTTTCCTCCTACTCTTTGGTCTGGAAGCTCCACTAAAACCTATCCACCGTGGATGACCCTGGTGTATTTGAAATACTGGTGGTATGGTTTCCAGCATCATAGCAACTCACTAGCCACGAGAGCTCCTAGCCACCACAGTATGAAAAACTGACAGATAGCTTACTAATCTTCTAGGTAGAAGCCCCAGCAAATGCAAAGGCATGAGGCCAGGAAAGAATATGCCCCATTACGGAACTAGACGCCTGACTTCAGAAAGCATGAGGGGATACATGAAATTGAAGTCATGAATCAGGAATCTCGTAAATCAGGGATTCATGTGCCATGCTTAACAACTTTTAAGCATGGCTAGGAAATAGTGAGCTAGTAAAAGATGTAGGGTAGATAAATCTTATCCTGTTTGTGTTTTCTAGAATCCCCAGAGGTTGCTGGTAATATGCAAGAGTAACTGGGAGGGGAGTGAGCTTGGGGAAAGGTTGGATTAATGCAATGACTCTGGGAAATGAGAATCCTCTCTGTCAGCCAGAGAGAAGTTGAGTCATTTTTTTTAAGTAATGCAGGATAAAAGATAAATAAAATTTATCATAAGAGTATAAGAAGGAAGAAACAACACTAATGAAATCTTAAAATCTTTTATTTTGTTTTCCCCCAAAGAACAAAATGAAGCACTATAAACAAACACAACAGTTGAAAGAACAGTGCAGTTTTAATACAATGAATGTGGTGCATATATATATTTCCTTCTAACAAAATGGTCCAAGATTTCAAAAGATACACTACAACCATTAAGACATCTTAACAGTGCTGTGTTTATACTGGAAGACTAAATAATGAATTTATTTTCAATTGGTTTGAAAATGTTTTCAAAACTTTCAGAGTACAGATCATTAACAATGCTTTTACTTTAAAAACAATCTAAAAGAATGCATTTCTATAAAAACTGGAAAGCATTCATTTATTACCTAGCTTCTTCATCTACCCAAACATATATTTAGTTGCTAGAATTATGGTACTCCTAATATATAGCATTTAATAAATAGCATATAAAATCAAAGTTTAATGAGTAAATAATGACATTATGCCATACTACAAAGACATCAAATGTCTCAAGTTATAGGAAAAGAATGTATTAGTCCTTTTAGAACTTAAACATTTAGAAATTCTAAATAAAGAAGTACATTCTGCACAGATAACTGTATGATACACCCAGCCTTCTACCATAGTATAAACTTAAACAGCATCCCAGGGTCAAGAGTAAAAAAAAAATCTCTAATATATTTCCCCAAGACAATACCAAAATATTTTTCATTTCTTGAGAATAGTGAGGATTACAGTTTATCTCCATCAACAACCGTCTAATGCAACATCATTTACATATTAAGGCCATTTTCTTTTCAGTACCACTATAAGAAATATATACTAAAAATACAATAATCACTTCCAACTCCTGACCCTTTAAGAGACTAACAACCAGTGATTCGTGGCTCACAATTTAGTCAACTGACAAAGATTTCAACAATCAAACTGACTGTTGTGGAGTCAGCTCTGATTTTTCCTGACCCTGTAGGACAGAGTAGAACTGCCCCATAGGGTTTCCAAGGCTGAAAATATTTACAGAAACAGTGTCACATCTTTCTACAGCAGAGTGGGTGGCGGAGTGTTAGAAATAATGACCTTTCTATTAGGATCTGAGCACTTTAACCGCTATGCCACCAGGACTCCTCAGTAATGTAACAGATAAAATAAATAGCAGGAAATATTATGTCAAATACTTAATAAGCTTAGCAGAAAGCTGCAGGGACAAAGATTTCTCCCAGCCCAAGTGGAGAATTCATGAAAAAGGTGATTGAATGGAGAAAACCAACTCTTGCTTTTTGTCTTCTCTGAGTGAGAGATCTCTAGAAGAATGCTCTGCTGAAGGCTTGGGTAATTTTTCCGATGCATTCATGGTTCTTTCTCTGAATCAGTTTTTCTTTTTCCCACTGTTGAGAAAATAATTACATCAGTTCAATGAATTTTGACACACTTCTTTACTCTACCCTATTTTTAAAGCTCAGAGCTGAAAACGTTTGGTGAAAACAAAAATAAAGATCAACAAAACCAAAGACTTAAAAATACATCTCACTAATGAACTCTGTTTAATTGCTTAATCAATTCCATGCACAATTGGTGATTAAGGTCTTTCCAGGACATTACTAAACCATCACCTCTTCTCCTTAACAACCTTTTTATTCTGAACATGGCTGGAATGTGGTAGCCAAAACCCATGCAGAGTATAAGGATTTCTGAGAGGTAAAGACCCTGTGAAGTCTACACTCTCCAAAGAGATTTAAAACACACAAGCACACACACAGAGACTGGCAAAGATAAAAATGGCAGGCACCTGTCCAGAATTCTCTGGATGGCTTTCTTGATCAAAGGGGCTTCTGGATTCAGACAGACTTCCTTCTCACTCTTCTTCAGGTGTGCTCTGCAGAGAGAAAAAGAGGATGCATTTGTGAGCTACAGAGGTTGACGATCTAGGCTGGCCGACTTCACTCTTACCAAGGTCCCAGTGAATACCTTACCCTCAGGACTTACATCACTTCCACCTTGGGGCACTGTGGGCCAGCGGCTATCACCTGCAGATTACTGATCATTTTGGGGTGAATCCCAGGAGTGAAGTTTAAACACATGCAGCGCAGCTCTCTCACCAACGTCGAGACAGGACCAGCTGGGAAAGAAAGACACCGTTATAGGGCAGGTTGCTGCGAGAGCTCTTCACCAGCAAGCACACTTCCCCAAGCCCTGGATGCAGTGTCTGGAGCGAGGCTAGGACGCGCAGCTGCTGCCAGGAACCTCCCGCATGCAGTGCGTTCTCACCGCTGGCTAGGGGCACTTGAGGCGTCAGCAGCAGCAGCAGCAGCAGCAACACGCACAGCGAGCCGGAAGACCCGGGGACACCGGCGGCGGGGATGGACCGGAGACTCATAACGCCAGAGAGAGAGTGGCAAGGGAGCGCAGGCTCTGGGGGCTGCACAGAGGCCAGAGTAGGCTCAGAGATTTGAGGCACTGTGGCTTCCACAAGTGTTCTGGACTCTTCTTTTATCTGCATTTGCGTCCTTCTACCAGGCAGGAAACTCAAGCTGTGGGATACTTGGGAAATTCCCTGGAAGGGGGCGGGGAGGGGCCTGGTGGGGCCAGCTAGGCATTGACAGTTGGAGAGGAGGGTGGCTGGGAGGAGTTGACTGCACCCTTTCTGGCGAACGCTGGAACCTGGCCCCGCAGCGGTCCCCGGAGGTGAGGAGCCACCACTCGGGAACCACACCTTCACTCTCATCCCAGGCCAGTTAGAGATAGCCAGTTTCTCCTGGGGGCAGAGCCCTCTGGGAGGTGTCCCCCGTCTCCATCTAAAGAGAGCTGGAGCCGAAGTAGGAGGATTTAGAAAAATTTCGGACAGTCTTTAACCCTTGCATCATCGTTATTATTTAGGTAATGTAAAACTCTGGTGGCGCCTAAGGCATTTGATTGCTAACCAAAAGGCTGGAGGTTCAAACCCATCAGCCACTCCTGGGAAGGAAGGTAGGGCAATCTACGTCCGTAGTAATATGCCTCAGAAACCCAAGGAGGGGTCACTACGAGTCGGATCCGACTCTACTGCAGTGCGTTTTACATAAACCGTTATTAGAACTAGGATAACCGGAAATATCTTTCTCTCCTGCTTGCAGGCAGATCATTTTAGGTTCTTGCCATCAGTTTGTGATTCTCTGGACTTCAGCAAGCTCTAGAAGCCAAGGTGATACGATGACAGTGTCTCAATTCCCACTAGAAGTCCAGGAAATGGCTTCAAAACCTGCACATCCTATACTTGCAATGTGACAAGCATATGTTTGTCAAAAGTGGTCTAAAATACAAAACTCTTCAAAAATCACATAGCAAATTGCCTCGGAAGATGTCTTGCTTCTGGCAGTTCAACACATTATTGCATTGGAAAAAGTCATGGAATTTGTTAGGAGGCAGGGGCATGAAGCAATGCCAGAGAACCCAAGTTAGCTCTAGTAAAGGCTCCTCCAGCCAAGTGCATATTTGACCCAATTTGAAGCCCCAGTGGGTGGCTACTGAGCTTAAGAGGTTGATCTAGGAGCGGTTCCCAGGTTTTGTCTAGGGGTTTGAAGCCATTTGGCAGCAAGACAGCACTCATTCTCGCTCCCCCAAATAACCACACTGGGAGACAGGGTTCACGCACAAGCTCCTGAAATCTTTTCACAGGCCTGAAGTAACCCCTGAGCTGGCCGCTTGAAGTCTAGGACTGAGATTGCTTCCCTCTTCCTCTTTCTTATCATCTGCAGAAGAATTAGAACAATGAGGTTTAAATGGCCACATCTTCCACATCTCTAAGTTCATGGCAGACTTGGATATAATACTGGAATGGCACATGGACTTTTTTTCATAGAAATCTAACTAGATCTGCTTCTTAATGCTTTTCAAGACCCATGTCCCCATGGTTGCCAGCAAAGGTAATAGGTAAATATGACCGCAATCAAAAACCAGTCATGTAACAAAACTCTTTTCCTTGTCATCTGTGAACGTGAGGAATTTTACTGACTCCCCCACCCATCTTCCTGGCAGGATATCACCTTTGCTGAAAGAGAAGGAAGTGTAGATCTTTAGAACTTTTAGTCTGGAAGGAAACTTAAGAGTCTCTGCTGGGAGGTTTGGCCCTTATTTTGTGAGAAGCTAAATGGGAAATTGTCAGTCCTTCACAGCTTCCTAATACCATCAGCATCATACCTGACTCAGCTAAAGCAATCCTTCATCCTTCTGGGGAGTGGAAATCTGTGGTAAACAGCCCTGGATTCATTATATTGAATTTTTAGAGATTAAAATATATCTAAAAACAAAAGATAAGCCTCCTTGGTATGGACAAGAAAAAACTTTAAAAATGTGAACACAGATCTTGGGTAATTAAACTTAACCACAGGGAATAAATCACACTATTTAAGGAGTTCTGATAGCGCTATGGTGAAGGTATTGGGCTGCTAATGAAAAGGTCAGCAGTTTGAACCCACTCCATGAAAGAAAGATGAGTCAGTCTGCTTATGTAAAGATTTACAGCCTTGGAAAACCTGTGGTGGTCACTATGAGTCAGAATTAACTTGAAGGCATTGAGTTTGGTTTTGGTTTATGATAAGATTTACCAAAAAAATAAATAAATAAATAAATAAATAAATAAATAAAATGAAGACTTAGACTATTGAGCTTTTAAACATTTGTGTGTGTGTGTGTGTGTGTGTGTGTGTTTAAGTTAGTTCTAAATATATATATATTTTAAACATAAGTGATCATTGAATAAGTATTGGAACATAAATGCTGAGATCAGAGACGGGTCATGGGATGAGAATGCCAGTTCCACCTCGCATTCTTATAGATGTGCATGCCTCACCTGGTTTGTACTCTGAATCAACTCACCATGAATTCAGGGGTAGAGGGTGGGGAGAAACTTTACCAACTGGCAAGCAGATAATAAAAAGTTCCCACTAGAAGTAGTCTGTTGGGTTGCCACACTTAATCAGGAAGCAGTGAGTAACTTAACCCAGGTTCCCATTGCATGCACTCTGGCCTATTGCCCAAGGCTAGCTCCTGTCTAGGCATTTCTGACTTGGGTTTTGTGCAAAGACAGGTAAGAAAGTATATGATCCAAAGACCTCCTAAAGTTGAGAATAACAGCACCATGAACTACAGTAGCAGAGCTCTAAACATAATTACTCCTTTACCATCAGTTTAAAGGGAAATCATTTTCCATACCTGCATTGTGTACAGGTAATAGAGAAAGGCACTGTGTTATTTTTGTTTCTTACAATAGTATCCTGGTAGCCTGAAAGATTTCCTGTTTTCAAAAGCAACCCAATTTTAGTCAGTACACCACAGAGAAGCTCTAGTGGTACAGTGGCTAAAGTATTCAGCTGCTCACAAAAAGATTGGCAGTTGGAGTCCACCAGCAACTTCATGGGAGAAATATGAGGCAGTCTGGTTTGGCAAAGATTTGCAACCTTGGAAACCCATAGGGGCAGTTCTACTCTGTCCTTTTGAGTCTCTATGAATCTGAGTTGGCTCAATGGCAGTGTTTTTTTTTTATATATATATACACAGAGTAATGTAATAGCAACAGAAATTTTCTTAATAGTTTGCAGCTTTCAGCACACTTTCATGCTCATTATCTCTTGAGCCTCACTTTGATTCTTTGAAGTAGATAAGTGAAATTCTTCTTTCCCCATTTTTTCATCTAGAAAAAGTGAGCCAGAGCAAGAAGTAAGTTGTATAATATCCAAGATTGGATGTCAAGCACTAGAGAATCTGACACAAGAAATTTTTAATGCTTCCTAGATTATAAACCACTTTCTTCATAGTCACTGCCAAATACCTCATTCCTCTCTGCAGTCTGGTTAACCACTTTATTTGCTTTGCCTAACAATCATATTTTAAGCTGTTAAAATCCTCAGTTTATCCACCTGTGACCTTCGAGGACAAAATGATATCAAACATCATATAGACCTCCAGATTACCCAGCTTGAAACTGTCTGCTTTCTAAATCCTTTTCTTTAAGACCCAATTCAAAGTCCTTTTTTCTCTGAAAAGGCTTCATCAAACATAATCAACTGAAACATGCTTCTTTTACTTTTGGTCTTTGAACATCTTATATACGTCTAGTAGGTATCTCATATGGCAGTTTAATTATTCCTTCATTTTGTGTTCTGTCTCCCTCTAATCAACTTTTTAAAAACAAAAACCAAAAAGCCCAACTGGCTGTCAGATCAATTCCAACTCATGGTGATCCCATGTGTGTCAAAGTAGAATTATACTCTGCAGGGATTTCGATAGCTGATTTTTCAGTAGTGAATTGGCAGGCTGTCCTTCCTTAGTGCCTCTGGGTGGACTTGAACTTCTAAGCTTTCAATCAGCAGTCAAGTGCTTACCATTTGTACCACTCAGGGGCTCCTCAAGTGAATTATGTTGTTGTTAGTTGCTGTTGAGTAGGCTCTGACTCATAGCAACCTTGTTAGAACAAAAACCATTTAAATTCAAAGGTAATGTCCAATAGATCTCATAACTTTCCACAAATTCAAAGTTGAGTTGCAAGCAGTTTATGAACATTTGATGATAGGTCTTTCGAGACGACTTGATGGCCCCTAACAATAAGAACAACAATGGCAATAACTTGTTGTTTTACCATGCTCTTTAAATTATAGGTGGATCTTAAAGTTAAGGAGGAAAGGGTTGCTCACTGTCTTTAATCATTTGAATTCTCTTATTTTGCATTGGCTTTCCCTATGTTAGAAATTGTTTCTTGGTTATTGTCAGAGGAAGTTCAAATTATATTCTCAGTCTTTAGAATCTAAACTATTCAAAAGAAGGTTAAAAATCCAAGAGGACGTTTAATATTAAAAGAAAGAAAATTATACAACCAAAGTTTCAACCAAACTAGATACTTTTTGTGATATAGAGATCTCTGGAGATAAGCAACAAAAGAAGAATCTGAGTAAGTAGTACTGCATTGAGTGTTGATAGTGTGAGGCCATCATTCTAAACTGATCTCCTTCAACAAGTCAGAGAGAACTTTAATTACGTAATGCAATATATATGGCATTGTTGGTGTTGTTAGTTGCTGTCTAGTGTGCCAAATAGAACTGTTCCATAGTATTTTCAAGGCATGTCTTTTTGGATGCAGAGCACCAGGGCTGTCTTTTGAGGTCCTCTGGGTGGGTTTCTACCACCAATCTTTCAGGTAGTAGTTGAGTGCTCAACCATTTACACCATTCAGGGACCCCCAGTATATTGCATAGTCCTTTTCAAATATTTTTCTAATATACTATTTTCCTTCTTTTGTGCTATTCTTTATACTGCCTTTAAGAAATGCTTTATTATTTCAGTAATTAAGGATGTAAACATATTATTATCAAGTTAAGTACATCAAGGATACCAATATAAGGAAAG